CTGCTTCATTAAGCCAAATCTCAGCCAATCAATGCTAACCAGCCCGTTAAACGTCCGTAAACAGTCCGTATCTATTGACCAATCAAATTAACCCACTCTGTAAAACCCTGTAATTTACTTATACGTGTAGCATTACTGCTTTTTTTTGTCGATGTGATGTACTGTACTTTGGTTAATTTATTTATCTTATTAGATAGATCCGAGTTTGAACCGATATGGACTCTCAAGACGAGTCCATGGTAGAAAGTACAGCAAACCAAAACGTGGATAATTAAGACCAGAACTCCAGATCCAATAACATCTGACGCTAGATATGTATTCTGGCTATGCATAGCACAACCAGACCTCAATTGATCGATCGCATTACACCGTAATTCCTACGTACGTGGCCGGGGATCGAAGATGGACGAGATCACGGTGGCATCGAGCGCGCTCCCGGACGACGTCGTCCTCGAGGTCCTCATGCGCGTCCCGGACGCCGGCACGCTGTTCCGGTGCGCCGCGGTGTGCAAGCGGTGGCGAGGGCTCATCGTAGACCGGTCCTTCCTCCGCCGTCGCTGGGCGGCGAGCGCGTCCTACTTCAGCGGATTCTTTGCTCGAGAGCGACGGTGCCAAGGAGAACATGACGATGACGTTGCTGAAGCCAGCTCCCCGCCGATCTTCGTCCCGGTGCCGCGGTCCGCAGCCAGTCCTGCTCCTGCCCGCTATCCCCTCACCTCGTTTCTAGTCCCCGACATGGCCGGCCTCTTGGCCGGATCGGAGCCGCTAACCGCTCGCAACGGTCTCCTCCTGGTACGCCTCAGCCCCTGCGCCGCCGGAGGTGGTGGCCCTATCCGTCTGGCTGCGTGCAACCTGATCGCCGGCACTTGCGACGTGCTTCCTCCACTGGACAGCGGGTCCTCCTCGCCCGTAGGCTACACCATCCTAACCGGCGAAGACTGCTTCTCCTCGCCTCCGCCATCGCCTGCGCCCAACTATTCCACCTTCTTCAAGGTCCTAATCTTCGGCCTCAGACACATCCGAACTGGGAGGCTTGGGCATGGCCACTACAATCTCCACATGTTCTCATCATCATCGTCGAGCTGGAGTTCGCGTATAGAGTTTGACGATTTTTACATCACGCGGGGCGATAACGGCGAGCAGTGGCCGTACATGGAGCATAGCATCGTCGTGGACCGTGGCGTGGCACACTACCTCCTCACAAAGTGGCCAGACCAACATCGCCTGCCATCTTACACTGTTGACATGAAGGGCTACGTCTGGGTAAGGGAGCTATGTCTCTCGTCTAACGAACCAACCGCCGACACTCATCTTCTGGCCCTCGTCGGCGGCGAACGCTCGCTCTTTTTAATGTTCGCAGAGGAAAGCCTCCGGATGGAGATCTGGACATTTAGAGGTGACGATGGACACGACAACTTAGACTGGATTTACAAGGGGGTGATGGAGCTGAAACCACCCAAGAACAGACGGATTGATGACGTGCTATGGGTGTGGTTGGGAGAAAAGAGCAACACCTTGCTTATCATGGATTGGGACCTCCGCGCGTACCTTGCTAATCTCGAAACTGGGGCGATGGAGGAGATGACGGAGCTGTTTTACAACACGGTTCCAAATGCCGTGCCTGTAGAGATAGATTGGCCGGCTTTATTCAGGACTCGGCTAGGTAGACACATATGCTAAACTTAAAAAATTTCAGGATGCAATTTTGTAGAATTTGTACAATTTGTACGAATTGAAACTTTTAGAGAAGAATTAGGACCACCGATGTATTTTACTCCTGATTAGTTAGTCTGCTCGTGGTTGTTATACGTATAGGAGTAATAAGTTATAAACATGTGCTATACCTGTGTGTGACCAAACATATAGCTATATGAATCAAAATTTTATTATGTAAAGGCCGTATTTATGCAACGCCTTTCTATAACAAGCATTTTTAGATGTTTTATAACATGCATTGTTATGGCCACATTACGCGCTGGTTGAATCGTCCACCGCCATTGTCATTGAAGTTCTGTCATATTTCGCCATATGTCGTCGCTCGCCGGTTAGAACATCAACCGTCGCTGGTTCGAGCACCCGCCATCGCCGGTCATAGCAACCGATCTCACTGGCAGTACTATCGTCACCCTGTGCTAGTTGCATCTTCGAGCACTCCCCCCTCAGGGCCCGCGACAGCTCGCTGCCGGCTTCCCAGCAACGTGATGGGAGCCAAAAGCTGGCTTTGTAGCCAACTGTGGGTAGCCGCACTGTACCAGCTCCTGCCGGTCGCAGGGAAAGTTGTAGCTCGCCAGCTTTCTGACACGTTTATAAGATAGGCAACCACCAAGACCACCCCTCGCCTAAGTCAAGAATGCTACATGCCCGGATCAAGGCATGCCTGAAGCCGCTGGCCACCAACGCCTCTGCATGGGTCCCCATCCAGAATCTTCATGAGGATGTCGAGAGAACCGTCGTCGAAAACCGAACCGGGAGCTTCGTCGCGCACCATGGGCAAGCCGCCGTTGTGCCATCACCCGTTGCGTGCACGACGACACCCACGCCACTCCATAAACCACCGCCCACAACCTAAAGTGCTTCGCGAAGATGCCACTGTGGAATTTATAGGATGATTGAATATATTGTATTTTACTGTTGTATTGATCTGACCCTTGTATGGGGTATATATAGAATATATGAGGGGTAGAGACTTGGAGTACAAGACAGGTTATGCACGGTTTAAACCTATTCAATCTCTAAGTCCTAATCTCTAACTAAATATAGTAATACATCTAACATTCCCCCTCAGTCATAGCTGGAGTGAAGCGGACGATTACGACTGAATTTGAAGTTTTGCGCTTCCGACGTCTTCTCCGATGCATCATTATCACCTGCGCCTCTGATGGGTTGGCACCTAGGGCGGTGACTGCGTCCCCTTCTGGTGCCTCCCTGGACTCTCCTCTATTCCCTCCCGCAGTCACAGCGGGAGTGGCGCGGACGCTGTGATGACGCGGGCCCTGTTGACTGGAGTTGTTGCCGCTGTGTTGTTGTAGACCAAGCCATTAATGTCGATGTCGATGTAGCCGATCATGGTGATGTAGGCATGGTCGATGCAGTCGTGGTCTATGGTGTAGTCATCGTGGATGATGAAGCCGCACAAAGCCGGAGGCGCAAAAAAAACGCTATAACGGAGCTGCAGACGTGGACAAGGCACCATGCGAATGTCAGAGGGTGTCATCAGCAATGAGTCCACCGGTTTTGCCAAGACCGGAGGAAACCCATTGAGCACACATCGGTTTTGCCAGAACCGTATGGCCGTGTAGAGGTCGTCACCATAGTGACGCCGTGTCGATGCAGTCGTGCCGTCGTGGATGACGCGGTCGATGCCGTCGTCGTGACGCGGTCGATGCCGTCGTCGAGGTCGCCTCTTGCAGAAAAGTCTGTCAGAGGACGCTATGTGTCCCTCTTGTGGACAAGGCAGCAGCAGTGTGTTGACGAAGATGTTAGTGAAGACCATGTTAATGAAGACCTTGACGATGAAGTGTAGGGATGACGTCCAAGTTACATAATAAATTATAATATATACCGGCACGAATCTTCGCATAAAATTAAGGGTCTGTCTAGGGTACACCTATATGACTTAGATGTGCAATATTTCATGCACATCTAGATGTGCCTTAGCAAACCCGTAAATTTTTGTAGTATCAAAAATCAGAAAGCATATTCTTTTTTGTAACCTCTTGTTGTATTACAGAGGATGACGTGGTTCTATATTTTTTTCTACTTTTTCTACGGGGTCTTTTTTTTCTACTTAAACAAGATATTTCTAGTGCTATATAGTGAAGCTCTTGATGAATCAAACAAACAGACAACTGAAACTGTTACAATTTGAAACATACAACATGTAAGATTGTACGTGATCAAAATAGGTTGCCGACTGTCAGGAATTTGGCTTAGACCGAGTACAACGTCACAGAAAGTTCTAAACACCTAAGTTCCACGACGACGCCCCAAGAGGGAAAACAGCATAGGGGTCGCTGCTGCCGAGTCCATAAGGGACAAGAAGGTTCACCTGGAACCCTGTCACGAAGAGGAGCACCACGACGATGTCTTCAGTAAGATAGCGACACTCGCAAGCATCTTCGTTGTCGGCGACAAAGCGCAGAGCTTTCGCTCGGCAGCTTCCCTTTGCCACACGAGGTCTTTAGGACAGGCGCACCGAGTTCAGCTCCCCAGGTTCGGATCAGAGCGACACCACTGCCAAAGATAGGGAGAGCGCCCGAGCCACTCAGTGCTACCCTCCCGCCGCTCACACGAGAGCCACACCTACATGATGCCCGCTGAAGAGCCAGCCATGCGAACCGCCATCCGACGCTGCCGCTCCGGTGTCCACGTCCAAGCCACCTTCATTCGCGACATCACGGAGCACCAACCTCCAAAGGAGGAAAGAAAGGGGTCTTCTTTCATTCCTTGCCTGGCATCAGTGTTGGAAGGTAACGTAGTAGTTCTACGTGATCCGGTTATCTTGGGACCGGTATTGTATGAGTGCTACCTCATCATCTTGTATTATTCGACCGTGTACTTGGTTCGGTGATTACTTTATATATAAAATGGGATGAAAATCTGTTTCGAGAGGGATTT